CAATTCATTGATTACATGAATTAAATGTGTACACTTTACTTAAAAAATTGTTGTTCTCCTTGATTTATAATATTACAAGTAGAATTTATGATGATTAATTTAATATATTTTACAACACCACAAAAAAAATGTTTTCAGTGTATGACTGCAATTTTATTCTAAAATAAAAATGACTGAATGATTGACCGAATAAATGAATGAATGAATTAATGAATGAATTAATTAATTAATTAAACTCACTGTCTTACAACATCCAGCACTAGCTAGAGTGCATGTGCTCATTTGTCTGAGTGACAGAAAATATACTATAGGCAACAATACAAAAGTAAGAGTTTCCTTGTATTGTCCGGCTACAAGGTTTTTCTTTGTAGCCCTGAAGGAGAATTTATCTACTCGGTTAAAAATAGCCCTGCTAGCGGTACAAGGTTTAAGATGATCTCAAAGGGCCAGGTGAGTCTGACACCGCTGGTACCATGGGAACTGATTATTTTAGCAAGTCAACAGAGAAAAGAGTTTCACTACAAATATTCTCAGGCAAATTCAAGAAGACACTTAGATTGAATTGCTAATGCATTTGGATCTTTTGAGAGATAGTACCTAAAATGTACGTCTCAATGTTTCATTTTTCAGTATACATAAACAGATATAGTTTCTTGACTTTCTGCTGGTTCAAGGACAAGGAACATCAAATACATCTCGGATCAGGTGGATCAGAACAACTGAGTTTACTTGTAAAGAGCAGTCACTTTTACAAAGGAAAAAAAAAAAAGCAACAGCCTTCAGATGAAATCAGACAAATGTCATGGCCTTTCTGATGTCTGATGAGATGAACATCTGTATTAACTCTCAAAAAACGAATGTCTTTGCAAAACAAAATATTAACTCTTTATTAAGGTGAGCGATGCTACCCAGATGTTTTTAAACTGAGAGATGGTGCGTAATGCGTCTGAAGGATTCCCAGTTATTACACATTAATTAATGATGTTCTAGTGGACTTTAAATTTTTAAAATGTTCATGTTCTTAGTGCATTTCATATTCTTGTGCTTTTCCCTGAGTGATAAATTAGCTTGGTTTCCATCCTAAAAGCAGCTTGTATGAAAAACTGTAGTACTGCATAGGGAGCGAAATAACATTTGTGTCGTTTTCACTGGCAAAGACACAGAGGCTCAATGCATGTGCATTTACTTTGCTTTTGTCCATGATACCCTTTCTTTTTTTTTTTTTTGAAAGACTTTATTTTGGTTAAAAATAACACTTGAGTTTGTTCTTAAATCTTTCCTCCCCGAAAGGACAAACCAAAAGACGTCTCTTAATACGGCAAGCAGAAGTGGCAAAGTAAAGGCAAGGAAAGGATTTTTGTCCTCATCAATAGAGCGAAGACGTGTTAGAGCCAATTATGGACTGTTTCTTTTGCAAATGCATCCGAGGACAAGAAGGGATGCGAGAACAGAGGAGAAAATAGGTGACTTAACATCATCTGCTAAAAGCCATGTGCTTTAATAGGTCTAAACCTGCAACTGATCTTTACAAAACATATCCCACAGTTTTACTGTACTGTACGTGTCATTAATTTTTTTTTTTTTTTTTGTATTTTTATTTATTTGTTTGTTTGTTTGTGAGAATATGGAAGGCGGTCACACCAAATCTGTATGAAACCTATGCACAACAAATACATCCAAAATAATTTAATTATACATCAACTTTTTGAGATCACCTTTTTTCACACACTAATGTGATTATTATGGAAATTTTTATTATTCTTATTCTTATTATTCATGTATACAAGCTATATAAGACTATTTAGTTGTTTTTACCTTAGTACTGTGTTTGTACTGGCCTGTCTCCTAAGTAAACATGTTTTCCCTTAATGTAATTCTATTTAAGGAGTAAAGCAGTGCTACAGAGGTGAATGCAATCAGAAAGAAAAAATAATTTTTAAAAGCAAAGGTTTAGTACCTGTTCTATGATCAGTCATTATGTCTTTGTTTTCCTCTGATGAGTAGGTAACTCTCCTCACTGTAGGTTTAGGCATTAAGATGTGCCAACTATTTTATTTCTTTATTATATTCTGTTACACCAAATACACAAAATAATGATCTTTAAAAAAGCATCATATGACCCCTTTAAGACTGTAGGGTATGTGTCTATAGAAAAACTGACTTTAAAAATAAACCTGAGAAATATTCACTGGAATTAAATGTGTGACAGCTAACCCTGATCTATCTTATAGTAGGCCATCATCACTTTAATGGACTACTGAGAGAATATGAAGCAAGCAGGAAATTAAACCTTATTTTAGCACACATATGGTAACTTGCATTTATTTGCAATGAATACAAATTTTCCTTTTTTTTTTTCTATGTACGTTGAAAAACAGACTTAAGAAATTGTGTTGGTAAAGGTGGGAATTTAGTCTCAACGCAAAATATAGTTTAGCTTTTATTTTTCAAAGATCCCATTAAAATTGATTTTACTCGGTCCATTAACTGAGTGGAGTTAAAACAACTTTATTAATGTTAAAGGTCATGACACATGAGTGTGTGTTGAACATTAGGGTGACAAAATTAAAAAAGGACATTATAATCAAGCATAGCGTTAGTTCTGGAAGGTCACGTTAGTCAAGCTCGCATCGGCTGACCTTCAGCTGATCCCCATCTACCTATAGGAAGACGACACCTATCTAAGCATTCATATATAAGGTCCCTCAGTATTATCAGCAGTTTTTGCATTGCTCAATAACTAATTACCCTCCTCCATCCCCAACTCCTCCTCTGTCAGTCGGGATTCAGCCTTCTGATTCTCCTTGAATCAGACTAATTCTAAAATGTGTACATAAAATTATTGAACTTTGACAATATCTGCAATACATTTATGTTAGTTCTGTTCTGTTTACCCTGGGGGGTTATTGCAGCTCTCCCTGCTCTCATCCATGCTAGGCTGCATGGAGGCGCAGGGAGTTCTTGCCCAGAACAGAACCATACCGCCAATCCAAACTGTATGCTAATTGTCAATCATCTTTGACGATAGTGGTCCTGACAGAACTGTATTGAAGGCTTGATAAAGATGTTGGTTCTCTACACCCTTCTATCCTTTGAAGCTCTTACTCTGGAGAATAAACCCTTTGTAGGAATTATGGCATAAGGATAAGCCCTTCAGAATGGAATGCAACAGAAGTGAGATGCTCAGTCCTGCTCTCTCTACACACCTGCCTCTAATTTTCAAATCACTTAGATTTGATTAGGGTGTGATCTAAACTCTGCAGGCAGGTTGATATCCCTATACAAGACTGATCATCTCCGAATGAATGAATGAATGAATGGATGGATGGATGAATGGTTTTCATTGCTTATAGAATGTCTAATGTTCAATTCACATTTATTTAAATTCAATACACATTTATTTATATAGCACTTTTCACGATACAAATCGTTGCAAAGAAGCTTCACATAAAGCTACAATTTCTACATTACATTTAGGAGTAATGTCTATAGAAAGTCTTTGTTTCACCAGCAGATGGCAGTACTGCTCTGTTTGTTTTTGCACTGGGCAAAATCACCATTGATCTTTTGCATTACTGGGCTTAGATCATTGGCCTTCAACCCTGCTCCTGCGGACACACTCTGCAGAGATTAGCTACCACCCTAATCAAACACACCTGAACCAGCTAATCAAGATGTTCAGGATCACTTTACAAATCACTGGGCAAGTGTACAGAAGAAGGTTGGAAATTATATTTGCAGGACAGTGGGTCCCCAGGAGCAGTGTCGAAGATGGATTAGAACTTTTGTTCTTAGATAGATAAACTTACTGTAAACTGTAAAAGATCTTTCTGTCTATCTGTTTGCTCATTTCTGACTAATTGTCAGAGTTTACATTAGTTTTGCTGTCTTTGCACTTGACCACTCGTCTATTTACATTCTTCTTCTTCTTCTTCTACTTCTTTTTATTATTATTATTATTATTATTATTATTATTAATCTTACTTATCTCAAACTTTTCAATGGTAGTATATCATGGTTTCTGGAAAAAAAAATACTGGGCAACAAAAACATATTATCAGCATTGATTAAAAAAAATCCACATATTAGAATGATTTCTGAAAGATCACGTGACACTGAAGACTGGAGTAATAATGCTGAAAATGTAACTTTGCCATGACAGGAATAAATTATGTCAAAATATATTATACAATAACAGTCAAGCTTATACAATAATCTTTTTTTTGTGTGTTTTTATTGTTTACTGCATGGGGAAAGAAATAAATAAATAAACAAATAAATATTTAAAAAATCAGCATTTGAAATATATTCCAGCATGTCTCATATTATAATATACATTTTTTACAGATACATAAAAAAAAAGGCTCAATAGCTCAAATAAAATATTATTTTTACCACCTGTGATTGACGATCAGCTGAAAACAACTTTGTGATATCATCAGACTGGGCCACATGCCAAAATAATGGCAGCTGTCCTTTTTGTGGCCAGAATTCCAAAGAAGGGGACATTGTACATAGTACGTCCTGACCATAGTACTGTTCACCACTACATTTCTTCTGTAACGTACAGTAAACATACAGTAAGTAGACCACCCATGCCTTGATATTGCCAGTAAAAATCAGAATCCTGACAGCTACTCTGAGGCCATCCCACCATGAGATTTCCCCAAGACTTCCTACTCTGTCACTGCCAGTTAGCATAATCTCATTGCAGTGGATAAGTCCTGTAAGGAAAGCAGAGTAACAGGTGGCATGGATGGTCTGGTTTACTATGACTCACACGCTCAGTTTGTTTTCAGTTTGTTTAAAGCTAAGAAACCCATGATGACAAAGTAGCTGCCTCATGCTTACAAGCTGGTCCTTTTTGTCAAGCCAAAGAATCTCAGAGAGACTTAGTTATTATAATCGAATCCAACTAGTCACTTTTGCTGGACTACCCCACTGCTGTCAAGGTGCCAGGGAGAGCGAGACGGCTTTTCTGTCTGCACCCCCTCCCTCCTTCCCTCCTTGGTGGAGCCGAAGTGGACACGGCTCCAGTCGAGGAGAGGAGAAGAATTTGGAATCACAAGGAAATCTCTGGGGTCTGGGCCTAGCGGACAGACAGCAACCCCAAAGTGTCAGCATGGGGGCGTCCTATGGCAAGAAAGTAAGTACGCTTTTGTCATTTTTGTTAAGCAGTTTAGGTAACTGTGTTAGTGTTGAGTGGGTGACACAGGTCATGGCTTGTTTTGAACATGACATGCGTCTTAAGAGATTGTTAGGATTTGTTTACATCATAATCATCACCAGTCATTCAAAGCACTGCTGATGTGTCTTTAAACCATTTTAATATGTACAGTAGTACCTTTTAAAATACAATTACTCATGTGTTTTCCAGAAGGTATACTTAATTGTGAATGCACATTTTAGAAAAAATAGTTATTTTGTTATAGAAGTCAACATTTGTGCTTTTAAATGAACACTTGTCTAAAATAACAGTTGACTTCATTATATGCACTTGAATCCAGGACACGTTCTGTTGACATTTTACATCATATACTTTATACAATTTTATACCTTATACTTTCATACAATTCAAAACCAAATTGGTCTAGTTTCCACAAGTTTCAGATTAACCCAAAGCCCATTGTTGGTGTTTTGAATGTTTGGGCAACATCCAGTGAGGTACTGGAGTAGTGACACTGACAACTATTTGAGCTATGGGGAGGACTGCATGCTGGGAAGGTGTGGATGGAGGGTGTGGTGGTGACTGAAGTTGACTCACTGCACAGTTCTGCTAGTGACAGCTGACAGCTGCTGTAGAGAGGGTTACTAGAGGATTATAGGATACTGATTACCTATGTCTGAGCCATTTGCTTGTACGATCTAGTGTCAGATTTATCAGGGTGAGGAGTCACAGTCAGAATTAAATAAACCTGTCATCCACTTCATGGATAAGGAACTGTGCTGTATTGTACTGCCATATAGGCATGTAGCTAGATGAACAACTGTATTGTAAATTAGCACTGTATTGGATTATTAGCATCCAGGACCATAACTACCTGTTACTAATTGTGAAAACAGTTATAGGTGTATTGTGTCTGTGGGTGTTTCTTAATCTTTGGCCAATTTTATGTTAGCAGGATTTATTTATTTGTTTGTTTGTTTGTGTGTGTGTGTGTGTGTGAGTGTGT